GTAATTTTTCTTGGTGGAATTGGATTTTCTTTCTTGAAAGAAAAATGAATAAAAGGGAGCTCCTGAAGATCAATGATATCTCCTTAACCATCAGAGAAAAATGTGTTAGGAGGAGCATAAACAGACAACCTAAGAAAATGGGCACTTCCTTGCAGATGCTCCGAAGAAGTTATAGGCACTCAAGGGCCTTCAGTTATAACCCAACTTTAGTATCTGGGAAACTTTTAGAAAAAAACCCCTGAATAAATTCTGGTTCTTCTTGACCATATTCAAAATGTGAGCTTCTTGTGTTATACGCTTCATTACCTTTGGGTTATTACCTTTCCACGACTGTCCTGCTTTATAATTAGTTCTGCTTAATTCTGCTTGTGCAACTTTCTTGTCTCATGATTTTTTGGTTTGCCTGTCTGCTGTGGTCATAATAACTGCACTGAAGATGAAATTATTATATTATGAAACTTAGGGATGAGTAAATGCAAGGCTCTCTGCAGACTGTACCCTACCTCCTCTGCTTTTGTTGGTAGGATTACTTTTATGTTGGATTTGTCTTTCTCCATTCCATGTACAAATTGGATGGCTATTCTTGCTTGAGTTTATGTTGTTTTGCTTAGCCTCTTTCTCCTTTTGGTTTCTTTTGTCTTGTTTTGATGGGCAGCTAGTCCTCCTTGTTGAGTTCTTTTTCTCTCTATCTGGTAATACTTCTTTTTCCATTGAAACAAAAAAGAACTTTGAGGTTCATGATCAATTATAAGAATATCTCTTTGGCTGTTTCGGCTCTCTATTGATTTTTGCTTTCTTTTTCTTATTTTAGGAGGATCTTTTATCCTCTGTTGTTTTATCTGAAAAAATGAGGAAGTTTCTGGAAAAAGTTTAGCAGAGGAATAACAAACTAAACTGTGAAATATTCTAAGCATTATTTTCAAAGACGGAAAGTGAGCCTTTATATGAGAAATGTCATTACAGGAACAATAAATTATTTCTTATATAGGTACATAGAAATGGTATCGCATTTCACTCAATAACTTCATAAGGATTTCTATATGAATTTTATTTGTAAACTTATTTTTCTGTAAAACTATTAATGAAAATGTGATACCATTTACCCATTGTACAAGATATTGGTAAATTCTATGCTAGAAGAGTGGTTCAACTGGGTTAGCCGACCTTTAAAGATGGATGAGAATTTGATGAGTTTTTAGATGTTTGGAAAGAGATCAACTTTGTTCTTTAAAATTTGCTGCTTTTTTATATTATTGTTATGACTTTTCTTGTCATTGGTTTGGATGTGCATGTTTGATCCCGGTCAGAAACTAGGAAGCTTTATGGAGATGTTATTTGGGGGGCGATATTTACTCCTCCTGATGGCACTTTTCTCAATTTACTGTGGGCTTATCTACAATGAATTCTTCTCTATTCCTTTTCACATTTTTGGTGGATCTGCTTACAAGTGCCGAGATATTAGTTGCAGGTATGTGTCAATTTACCTTGGTGTTGATGCTTTTTGCATATTCCTGAAATATCATGTATCTCAATGTTTGGAAAATCCTAGTTCGATGTACCTTTTGATAGCATTATAATAGATTTGTTTGTTGAATAAGAGGAAGCTGATTATTTCATATTCTTTGCTTGATGTGCAATTTCTGTAAATTAGAGGGTGTTTGACTCACCTCATTTTTAAGAGCTTATAAATTATAAAGCTCATAATCTCTTTAACAGTATATAAATTGATACAAATTTTATTTTTTCCAAATAAATTGTTGGAGACTGTTGTAGCACAAACAATAAATTGTATTAATTTATTTACCTATCAGTAAAATATGACTTATAAGATTAATTTTGTCTAAATAACAAAGAGGCTCTTGAAAAGAAGACGAGGATGTACTCTATATGGATATATCTTTAAAAATGTTAGGATTATTTTGTCCTTTTAGTTGGCCAATACCCCAATAATTTTCTAGAAGTCCTGTTGAAAGATCTTATAAGCTAACTTATAAGCTCTTATTTATTTATCAAATGCATAGAAAATTTAAAGCTACTTCGCAAAGTTTATAAGCTGTTTTTGGCTAAAAAGTAAGTTTAGTCAAACCTCTTAGTTGTATTGAATTGCTTGATGTCTATTTCCTTTCTCTTTTTCTTTTTTCTCCAGAACTAACAGAACTTTTTATTACTCACAGTAAATTAATTATGTTAGTTTATGCCATTGTGATCTCTACTTTAATGCGATTGTACTTTCAGACAATGGTGACTTCTCAATTGATTTGATGTTTTGCTAAAGTAATTTTTCTATCATCTCAAGTTGGTTTGCCAGGTTTGCCACTCTTTAGATAGTTATTCTCCACAGAAGGGAAATTAAAGCACTGACTTAAGGTTTTTAATTTTCTAAAATCATGTATATTTATACACCAAAAATGTATAGCTGTTGAAAGTGAAAAGGGGTTTGAAGAATGATAGTGAAAAATATGGTATGATCTTTGAAAAGAACTTTTTGTTTTTTGTCTCTTAAACCAACATCATATTTTTACAATTATTTTACCAAACATTGATTTCGTTTTCAGTGACTACACAAGCTTTTGTGTATAACATATATGAACTTAGAAAATAAAAACTCAAAACAATTTTTTCAACAAAATGCAGCCTATGTTCTAAGCTAGAATCTACTACCTTGTTGCTATGTGGTCCGTTGTGGAGCTTAATTACATGTCAAGATGAGGAATTGGATGCCCTAGATTAAGTACTAGCTTTAATAATACTTCCTGTTGATTCAATTAATAAGTCATCCTACTACACTAGCTGGATCTGATTGAACTTTCATCTTCAACACTTGTTACATATCTCTTGAACTATTTTATATTACTCTTCCTTTTCTTTCTTTTGTTTTCAAAGTTGATAGTGAGTGCAACATTGGATTTTGCTATTCCTTCAAAGATTCAGTTGTGTTTCTTTCTGATTATCTTCTATTTTTTCTTCTTTGATCAGTGATGCACATTTGGCTGGTCTAGTCAAATACCGAGATCCATACCCATTTGGTGTGGATCCTAGTTGGCGTGGGAGTCGTTCTGAATTGCCTTTCTTGAACTCTCTTAAGATGAAGATGTCTATATTGTTGGGTGTGGCCCAGATGAATTTAGGAATTGTGTTAAGTTATTTCAATGCACACTTTTTTGGTAGCTCACTGGATATAAGGTATTTCTTATCTCCTTTCTACTGAACATTCACTTTGTGACCCTAGGGGTAGTCATGTTACATTAAGAGTTGATTTTACTAGATAAAACTGGAACTCACTTCATGGATATTTCTAGGTATCAGTTTGTGCCACAGATGATCTTCCTTAACAGTCTTTTCGGGTATCTTTCGCTTCTCATTATCATTAAGTGGTGCACTGGTTCTCAGGCAGACCTTTACCATGTGATGATTTACATGTTTTTGAGCCCTACCGAGAATCTTGGTGAGAATCAGTTGTTTTGGGGTCAGCGGCCACTTCAGGCATGATTTTCTCTTTATTCTATATGTTGCTGCTAACACATAAACCCCATTGTTTTGTTTTTAGTCTTCATTGTGGTCAGTCAATGTTTGGCTTTTGCAGATCATTTTGTTGCTTTTGGCTCTAATTGCAGTTCCATGGATGCTATTTCCAAAGCCTTTTATCTTGAAAAAGCTTCATTTAGAGGTATGTGTTACTTCAGCTGCATTTGGCTTCCTGATTAAGATTTTTGGGCACCTATAATGAAATTTAAGTTTACTCTAAAAGTTTCTTTTATATTTTTTCCGTTGATTAAAAACAGAAGTTAACAATTCTGAGGCTTGACTAATTTTTTGTTGGTGGTATGTTTCTAGAGATTTCAAGGTCGTAGTTATGGGATACTTGGCACTTCCGAGATAGATCTTGATGCAGAACCAGACTCAGCACGGCAACGTCACGAGGAGTTCAACTTTACTGAGGTTTTTGTGCATCAAATGATACACTCCATAGAATTTATTCTAGGGGCTGTCTCAAACACAGCATCATACCTTCGGCTTTGGGCTTTGAGGTAGAGAACTGATATTTCTTCACCCTACATACATATGTACAATTTAGTGTCAATTTGTGAGTGATTTCTCTTTTGTACTTATATCTTTTTGGTGGATAATTGTCATTGCAATTACAGCTTGGCACACTCTGAACTGTCAACCGTTTTCTATGAGAAAATTCTTCTTCTTGCCTGGGGGTGAGTAACATTATATTCACTACATCATAATATTACTTTTGTGTCTTTTGTATCTTGGTTATTCTTTGTTATAAACTGCAGCACTCTTCTCCTGCGTTTCATTTTTCTTAACTCTTGTCATCAATTATCTTTCTAAGGAGCGTGGTCATTAGCCTGAAAATGTTTCTTATCCTTGTCGCATATTGCTTCGCTACCTAACTGTCATCTAAGCCAATGCCTGAGTTATATATCTCAGATGCAAAAGGTGTGAGCTAAGAGCTCTGTAGGAGAATAAATCTCGCTCAGTTCTCAATTTCATAATCCACTCTCTTAAAGAGGGTGCAGAAACTTTACCATTCAGCATCTTTCAATTATCTCATGCATTACCGCATGTCAGCATAATCATTCGGGGAAATGTAACTGTGGGTTCATCCTTACTAAGGAGTTCCCTGTCTTATAATACTCAGGCTTGGTGCATGCATATGATGAATCTGTATCTCTAACTCTTAGCTTTCACATCTATTCACATGATCAATGCATACACCCTCTAGCCATTCATTTCTTTTGGGCACACGTAATTTTTTAGGCAAATTATATAACCTGAGATGAGGCTTGAACCTTGAAACTCTAGGAGCAAAATAAGAGACCTAAATTCAGAAATTTTATGAAATTTATTTGCAAATTCATGCATTGAACTCATTTAATAGTGAGGACAAAAATAGATCACCTAAGGAATCTTATATGGAATTGAAATGATAAATTCTAAATTCTGTGGAGGTTACCTTGTATTAAGAGGGTTTTCATCATCCTCTAATTGCACATATGCAAATTTGACAGAATTTTTGGATTTCTTCTAAATATAGCTCCCCCATCCCCAATGCTTTAACTCGTGTCTCTGCTAATGATAGTGATACAAATGGTAATATCATTACAGGTACGACAACATCTTCATCCGATTAATAGGGTTAACAGTTTTTGCTTTTGCAACTGCTTTTGTACTGCTCATAATGGAGACTCTAAGTGCTTTCCTGCATGCCTTGCGTCTTCATTGGATGGAATTTCAGAATAAGTTCTACCATGGCGATGGCTACAAGTTTAGACCTTTCTCTTTCACCTTGATTGTAGAGGAAGAGGACTAATTCTCAATACATTCTGATCTTTTTCGTCTTCACACACAAGAAACAAAATGATTATATTGAAGGGCTTGGAATTTTTCCAGGCTACCTAGAATGGATTCCAATGGAAACTCAAGAGACTGGCTGACCGACACTCAACAAATTTTCCCCTAACATAATTCTTGCTGCATATCTAAGATTGTGGAAAAATCCTTGAGCAGATTCTTCCAGGCACAGTAAGTTTACATTGGAACTGAAACTTTTTTGTTCTTGAGGTTGGAAAAAGGGGGTAGTTAGGGCTAGAGGTGAAAAGCTTTGTCGTAAAGAGAGGCTGGAGAGACTCATCCATACCAAATACCACATAGCTTTCCTTGGATTTCAACTGGGTTCTTTCTTGGGTTTGCAGGCTTATAAATTTCACATTTTCTTTTTTAAACTTTGAATAGTATATCCAAGTGTAGTTATGATTCATAAACTCACAGTCCCATTTTTGTAAGAATTTATAATAAATCAAAATAGCGATAATATCCATTCCAAAAGTAGAATAAGTTCACATTCATTATTTTATATATATATATATATTATATTTTGTAGCCTGTAAGCTCTGTATTTTGTTCTTATCCTCGATGATCATCAATGTTTGGCTGTTGTCATAATTACGTCATTTATTCATCTCCCGTTTTTAACTTTGAGATTTTCATTTCCAACAAATTCATCTTATGACGTTAGGGGGACTGAAGGACTGTTATCATTTGAAGTTTTAAAACTCGGATCTATTGAGAAATTTATTTTCTTTTCAGAAATTATGTTTATTTATAAATAAAAATAATACTGAAAAATAAGAATAAAATATATAATAGGTAAATATAATTATTCAAAAATTTAAAATTTTAAAATGAAATTAATATAATAATTATATAGAGATAAAATTTTAAATATTATTTATTTAAATTCTAAAATATAAAGATAAAATGTAATATGATAATATATAATAATTATTTATTTAATTTTTAAATATAAAAATAACATTTAATTTTTAATCGAGTAAAAATTATGTATCTTAATTAATTTTGAAAATTAAAACTGTAACACGTGATTGAAAAATAGTTATTATATGTACTTTATATAATTCGGTACAGCTTTCAAAAATAATAAATAAATAAATAAATAAATAAATAATCAGTATCAATCAGATCACAAATATTCTCTCTAACCTCATACGTAGGTTTGCTGATAAAACTGCTGCAAGACGGCAAACTCAAGTGGTAGCACGCGTCCATCCGAACGAGTACCGGAGGCGGTGTGTTTACTGTTTCTCTACATATTTGTCTATTCTATATATATATATATACTCACGCTCTCTCTCAATATACAAGAAAAAATAATATACCTTAAAACACGCAGGCCAACAATCAAATCAAGTAATGGTATCAAGAGTCATACTACGAAAAACTTGTCAATCATCTGTTCTTTTCTTTCGCTACGGTCTCTGTAAACCTGCAGGCTGCAGTATTCACATTAATAAACCGGCTAAGAAGCGAAATTCGGCTACATGGAGAAGCGAAGGAAGGAAATCGGAGATGGGTTTACCGAGATTTGCAAGCGGGAGATGGGTCTTTCTCAGCCCCGAACTTTTGCTCGCCGATTCTCCTCTCTAGAGGTTTTCAAATTTTCTTTTCTTATGGCTAGATTTGGGCTTGGGTTTTCTTATTTGAGTTTCCTGCTTGACGTTGTGAAATATATTTGTGGTATTTATTAGTTTTGAGTTTTAGTTTATCTTTTTAATTGAAAAGCTTGGTCAAGCAGCAACTGGATTTCCTCTTGGAAAAAGAGCTGTTGAGTTTGAGTTCATAATTTTTCGTAGTAGATACTTTTTCTTCTTGTTTGCGATTTATTGCGGCAGGTTTCTCTTTGCTAGCCGATTAACGTTGATGGGTTACATTTGGAGTTGATTATGGGCGATGGATACGGAAATTGCTGTGAGAACTTATGGATTTTGAAGAGCCTTGTTCAAGCTCCACATATTATTGTCTCAATCTGAGTTAACTCGCTGAGTTTTGTATGATGATTTCGTTTAGAGAGAATATTGATGCTTATTTGGATTGGCTTATTGTTTTGTTACTTCAAATGTAAAGAATATTTAACTCGAACTGTAAGCTTATAGTCCTTTATATAAGAAAAAAATGTCTGATACTTTTTTAAGTGAAAAGTCAGTAAGGTGATTAAAAAAGTATATTCAGTTGTTTTGATTAAAAATTGGATTACTCTTTGAAGTGCTAAAAAGTTCTAGCTTATTTTTAGAACCTCTCATTAGAACAAATTTACAACCTTTTCAACTTCATGTTGGATGCTTGGATTAATAGGAATTTTAAGAAAAAATAGTGTAGCCTACTTGAAATGCATTTGGATAAATCGGGTGTTACGGGAGCAGAAAATACTTGTGTTATATTATTAGGTCTGCTTGATGTCCAGACCTTCCTTGCATGATGATAAGAACATGTTCTTTCTTGCGCTATATATGTCAGCCATTGATAAAAAGTGCAGGGATGTATACTGTTGCTAATAAACATTAGGAGGTATTCTATTGCATGATGAACTTTTTTCATTCCTTGAAGAACACATGTGTAAATCAATCTAACCATGTCATAGCTGCTGGACTAGAGGCAACAAGGAGTTACAACAGCGTGTTGATATAGTGGTTTGGTTTACCACATTTGCCATGAATCATAAGTAATAGATGTAGCATGTAACTGATATTTAGTCTCTATCAAATTCATTTCTCTTCTGAATTCTTGAAGGGTCATGTAAGGGCTTTTAGTGTGTTCTAACTTTTAATCTCCGCCCTTTTGCATATTTAGTTTTTTATTCATGCTTATTTGCCAAAACATATATGTTTTTTGGTGCAGGTATTAGCGGCACAAATCAATATTTATAGGAAGTTAAATGGCCATGAGGGCTGTGTAAATGCGGTGGAGTTCAATCCTGCTGGTGATCTTCTGGTTTCTGGTTCTGACGATAGACAAGTTAAACTTTGGGATTGGGAAGCTAAAAGTATATTATTATCATATTCTTCTGGCCACTTTGACAATTTATTTCAAACCCGGTTCATGCCATTCTCTGATGATCGTAGAATAATTACTTCCTCTGCCGATGGACAGGTATGTTTCCGTATATGTTAAATTTTTTTGAATTTGTTTCTTTGTGGATTCTTCCCTTTCGTCGGGTGAAATCCTCTCATGAATATTCTTTTTTATGCTGAAATTCCACACTTAACCCTTAGGCTGTAAACTACCTAAAAAATGTTTCCTTAAAACTCCATCCTCCTCATTTTCTTTCTTCCAAGCAAGTTAATTTGGTGTACTACATATTCCTTACAGTACTTCTACAGAGAATTATGTATTGGTTAGTTTTCTCTGCCATTTGATTTTTAGGAGCTCCATTTGGGTAAATCCGTTTTTTAACTCCACTGTCAGCAGTCTCCAAATATGTCATTGCAATTTTTTTTTTTTCTTTCATTAAAATCGGATATCTTTATCATTAGAAACTGCTCCACATGCAGGTGAGGCTTGGTGAGATCTTAGAAAGTGGGAGAGTTGAGACAAGAAGATTGGGAAAGCACCAAGGTGCTGTATACAAGCTTGCTGTAGAGCCTGGAAGTCCCCACATAGTTTACAGCTGTGGTGAAGATGGTTTTGTTCAGCATGTTTGTTAAACTCAAAATCATTTTCCTCATGTTTCTTTCTTTATTGTTTGTTTCTAGAGTGATTTTCTCTTTTTATTTGCAGTTTGATCTACGAACTAGTTCAGCTACGAGACTTCTGTATTGCTCCTCATTAGCAGGAAACAGTAAGCAGCCAACAAAGAGCATAAGATTGAATACCATAGTAATTGACCCAAGAAATCCAAATCAATTCGCTGTTGGAGGTTCTGATGAGTATGCACGAGTTTACGACATCAGAAGATGCCAATGGGATGCATGTAGTAGTTCTGATGAGCCCATGACCACATTTTGTCCCAGGCACCTGATTGAGACTAACAATGTTCACGTCACCGGAATGGCTTACTCTAACACAAGTGAACTACTTGTCTCTTATAATGATGAACTCATCTATTTGTTTGAAAAGAACATGGGTTTGGGTCCTTCGCCATTGTCAATCAATGCTGAAGTATTGCAGAGAACTGAACAGCCTCGCGTTTATGTGGGTCACAGAAATTCACAGACGGTTAAAGGAGTGAGTTTCTTTGGCCCTGGTGATGAATATGTCTTGAGCGGGTCTGATTGTGGCCATATATTTATTTGGAAGAAGAAGGGAGGTAATCTTGTTCGGTTAATGGTAGGTGATCGGCATATAGTGAATCAGCTGGAGCCGCATCCACATATACCCGTTTTCGCCACTTGTGGAATTGAAAAGAATGTAAAGGTCTGGGCTCCTATGCCAACGGACTTTCCTCCACTGCCTTACAATATAAACAAGGTAATTTCTCTATAAAATTATACTTCGTTGGTTTGCCATCTTCTGTTTGGTCCTAACAAACAAACAGGAGTCTCACTGAAATTTTCTGTGTTTATATATATTGTTTTCTTACGACGTATACTCTATGGAACTGAACTGAAACCCGAATGAAAATCAGTTTTTTTTTTTTCCTCTTCCGGGAATAGATCATGGAGGCTAATAGGCAAGGGAGAGAAGACCATTCACAGGTAACACTAACACCTGATGTTGTCATGCACGTCCTCCGGTTGCAGAGGCGACAAAGATTAGCATTCATCGAAAGGAGTTACAGTGTCGGAACAGACGAAGGAGACGACGAAGATGAAGATTACGTTCTCGGTTTAGGTTTATCTGATGGTTATGTATCCTCTGAAGAGGGTTCAACAGCAGATTACAGTGAATGCATCATCAGCTAGAGTGAAACTTTGTTGAATTGATGCACAGGGTAACTAACATGTATATAGTTTTACTTCTCGCTTAAATATCTACTAGTAAACAACTGGATCATTATCCGTCGCTTTTATTCTTGTACAGAATCTTTAATTTTTATATGTCTGAATTTTAGCTTAATATATTATATATATATTCACATATTATCAATTAAATTTTGAAGAGTTAATAGTTTATATTTAAAAAGTTGTATATGTGAAAAGTATAAAAAAAATAAAACTTAAATAGTATAAAAATTAATTTTATAAAAAAATAAAAATTAGTAGGATAGAAATTGTGGTATGGAAACTAACAATTTATGAAATATGTTAATAAAAAAGTATGAAAATATAATTTTTAAAAAATAAATAACTTTTAACAATTTTTATATAAAAATATGAGGCCCAAAACTTGTGGGCCGGAATAAATCTTATTGGGCTCAATCGACCCGAGATTACCTTGCACGTGACCGACACGTGACCTTGACCCTTCCAAACACTTCCCGCCTGCCTGTAGATTCAAATTTTTCGCAGAGAGAATAATCTAACTCGAGATCTCAACTTTCAAACCACGTTTTTGTTTCTCTGGTTTCCGTTGAACCCAAATCTGAGAGTACAGACAGATATAAGATTAAGAGAAATGGAGGACGACGACCTCATAGAAATTGCAGGAGAAGATGATTCTCTGCTGCTGCAGGTCCCAAACGACAACAGTAACCGGACCTATTTCACTTGCTCCCCTCTTCAAGTGCCTAAACCCAATCCTGCTTCTTATCCTTCTATTACGTCTCCAATCGGTTAGGGTTTTCCGCTTTCTTTTAATTATCGAGAAGATAGACCTGATGCTTTCTTTTTCTTTAAATTTCTAGGGATTGTTTGAGTTTAATTCTATTCATGCTAATGTGATTTATAGCAGCCTCTGCTCAATGATTTTGGTAGTTGGTTATGGACTTTCTTTCTTCGTGGTTGATTTTGACGTTTGGATGCGTATGTAAATGTTAGCCGGGTTCTTTTAATTGATGATTTTCTGCGGCTGTAGCTATAAGGGAAGGATTCTTAACTTGGTGAATTGGATTTCTTCTTCATGATATTCCACATTTCCGTTAGTCCGGTCATTTATACTGAAGATTAGACAGCAATTTTTGTATGACACTGGAAGCAGAAATTTGCGTTCATTCTTTTGTTAATTTCTAAGTTTAATCAATTAAATTCAGTTTCTTATTTTTTTAATAATTTTTCTTAGTTGTAATTGCTTGTGAAGAGAAAGTCGAAAGAATTATGATGATCCTATTGATGGTTTGCATGTAATACATGTCATTTTGTATTCCAGAGAGTTTGATGGATACTAAGAATGCAGAGAGTTTGAATCCTTCGTCTGTTAGAGCTAGCATTAACAAGGAGAATATCAGTGCTAACAAACCAGAAGTTGTCAAACTCAGTATGGAGCCCCAGCCAATGAAGAGGAAAAAAAAGGGCGGAGGTTATAATTTACGGAAAAGCTTAGCTTGGGACAGAGCATTCTTCACTGAAGAAGGTGTCTTTAATTCTCTTGTTCAGACTGCTCCACAATTTATTCTTTACAAAAGTTGAAACAGAATGGTTAAGGAGACTATACTTAATTCTTTCTTTTCTTGGTTAGGTGTCTTGGATCCCTTAGAATTATCTATGATCAGTGGGAATATTAATCAGTCTGGTGGAGAAAGGTTGTCAGTTATTCACGAAGAGAGGAGAGAATCTCTATTAGGTCTGGACTGCAGTAGTGAGTCAACAGATTTGCAAGCTCTCGAGCAAAATTTATTTAAGGAACTTCCAGTAAGTATCAGGAATGAAGATAAGAACGTTGCAGGTGGCTTACGGTCTAAGAATGGTTCATCCACTAGAGATAATGTAGCCGTAGCTTCTGTGGTCAGTTCCACTTAAAACTGAGTAAATATACTACTTTTACCTTCTCTTTTTTGGTTTTCTTTTGGTATCATCAAATTTATCTACTCTGCTTTTCACTGCATCTAACTATGGTTGTATTAAATAATGCTCCCTAGGCAAAGAGAAAGGTGCTTTCAGCTCGTGATGATAATAGCAGTCGCTCAAAACGTAGCGGCCACCAACACCCTGTTGTTTCACCTTCATATCCTTTCTTTTAGTTTTCAAAAGTGAATATGAGTTGTCCTATCTATCTCTTCTAAATTTCTTATTTTAGTGTTTGACCTTAACTTCTCTGAACCCTGAAAAGGTCTTCAAGAGTAAGCACAAGAAATGCACCAACTAAGGAATCTAAAGTTTCAAAAATACCTGCTCCAAAAACAAATCCTTCTTTTCTTCCTAATAATGCTAGGAGGGCAACTCCAGCTTCAAGCAAATTAAAGCAAAATCAGACTGCTAAAACAGGTATGTAGAATTTTTTGGTTTATTTATGTTTAAATATTATTATTATTATTATTATTATTATTATTATTTTAAAATAAGATAGCTCATCTGCATCTTACTCTTTTGTATGATATATACCAATAATGATTTTCATTATCTAAGATATAAGAATTGTTTTTCTTATATAATTTGACATGTACATTGAATATGTTAATATGCATGTACTCCGCCGGCTTCTTCTTTCCTAGTGGCAGGTAATGGCCAAAAAAGCACTGGATTGACAAGCTCCTCAAACAACACTAAAGGTGCTCGAAATGATGCAAAGTCTAATCTGGCTCCCAAACGTTCAATCCCTAAATCTACTCTTCAACAGGCTGGCAAAAAGGTGTTGAGAATCTGCTGCCTTAGTAAATTAACTTTGAGAAAAGTCACTGGAGAAAGTGTGGCTAGTAATTGTATCTTAGTGTTTCCTGATTAATGCCTGCATCTTAGGTTGCTTTTACTTTGTTTGAACAGATCATCTCAGCATCGGAAGCTCATTCACCAACCATCTCACAGCATCTATTAGCTCCCAAAGCAAACA